TAAACTGGGTAACGGGCGGTGCTGTGAACCCACCATTTAACCAAGGAGATGCAACTCATGCTATGCTTCGGCTGCCCTAGGTAGGTTTAACTACGAATGATATGGAGAGATTGTTGCGTGATTCAGGAGCGATGGAGGGCGCATTCCAGATCAAGACCGGTCATCTGCCTAAATTTTCAGTTCAGCAGATTGTAGACTGTTCTACCCGGTTAGGGAATTAGTAGGTCGAGTCCCCTCAGCGAAGGGCTTCGTTGAGGACACCATGCTAGTATCACTAACTTTTTTCTCAGCGGATGCGATGGCGGTTCGTATAGCGCCACGGCAACTTATGTGAATCTCAATGGGCTCGTGTCGGATAAGGACTATCCCTATGCTAATAAGGAACAGGCTTGCAACAGTGTGGTTCACGACTATGACAAAGCATGCCTCGAGGTATCAACTAGGAGAAGGGTTGATGACACACAGTGTGTCACACACTTTAACGGTTTGGTTGTGACCATCGAGCTTCGAGAGTCCAATAACATCTCTCAACTGCAGCAAGGCGCCGGCCTTATCGATCACAACAGTATATAATAGTATTGCCTCTGTTTTAGCCTGGTGACCTGATTAACGGAAGAGGTGCGGTTCCCAAGGAGAGGCTAGATATCCTTATCCAGGAGCTACAATTTGGCCCCATTGCTATCCAAATATTCACCGATACTCCAGCGTTCGACAACTACCGAAGTGGAATTCTAGATAGTAGCTTTAGGAATGCGTCCTACACTGTGTGAAAATTACATCTTCAGTTCCGAATTGTAACGGTGAACCAGATCATGGCATGCTGCTTGTTGGATACGGTGTCGATGGAGGGAAACCGTGAGTAAAGATATACTATTATTGGATGGCTGGAATCGTCGTCAATATTTTGCCGAGTAAGTTGATCGTTCTAGGTATTGGTTGCTGCAAGACTCATTAGGGCCCCAGCGAGGTGAAAATGGATATGTAAGAGTTGCCAGGGACCCAACAAAGACTCATGGCCCAGGTAACCCTGGACAGGCTCGATGCGCTCAAATCAAAACGATGAGCTGATGGCCTCTTTCAGGATTCTGCAACATGCTATCCGACGAAGCTTATAGGCCCGTTTTGAACAAGGTGCTGAAAGCTAAGGCGTGCCTTGGCTAATCCGCCCGACTCCCACTGCGAATAATGTTGCGCCCTCTCGTCTTGCTATTCACAATCGATTTCTGGCATAGATGGGCAGCGTAACATTTTTCTACGGTTTACGTTACGGCGTGCGTAACGTGAACAGTTCACGGTTACGGAAAGGCCTTACGACTTTACGGTTGGTGCTGAAATGATTTTTTAGAATTGTGGCGGAAAGATCCGCTGTAATGGCATTACAGCGAAT